CTCTGCATGTCTGGCAGACATATCAGTATGGATGACGGATCACCACCTCAAGCTGAACCCTGGCAAGACGGAGCTGCTCTTCCTCCCGGGGAAGGACTGCCCGTTCCATGATCTCGCCATCACGGTTGACAACTCCGCTGTGTCCTCCTCCCAGAGTGCGAAGAGCCTAGGCGTGACCCTGGACAACATCCTGTCGTTCTCCGCCAACATCAAGGCGGTGACCCGCTCCTGCAGGTTCATGCTCTACAACATTCGGAGAGTACGACCCTGCCTTACACAGGAAGCGGCACAGGTCCTAATCCAGGCACTTGTCATCTCCCGTCTGGACTACTGCAACTCGCTGTTGGCTGGCCTCCCTGCCTGTGCCATTAAACCCCTACAACTCATCCAGAATGCCGCAGCCCGTCTGGTGTTCAACCTTCCCAAGTTCTCTCACGTCACCCCCCTCCTCCGCACACTCCACTGGCTTCCAGTTGAAGCTCGCATCCGCTACAAGACCATGGTGCTTGCCTATGGAGCAGTGAGGGGAACGGCACCTCTGTACCTTCGGGCTCTGATCAGTCCCTACACCCAAACGAGGGCATTGCGTTCATCCACCTCTGGCCTGCTGGCTCCCCTTCCTCTGCGGAAGCATAGTTCCCGCTCAGCCCAGTCAAAACTGTTCGCTGCTCTGGCACCCCAATGGTGGAACAAGCTCCCTCACGACGCCAGGACAGCGGAGTCACTCACCACCTTCCGGAGGCATTTGAAACCCCACCTCTTTAAGGAATACCTGGGATAGGATAAAGTAATCCTTCTACCCCCCCCCCCCCCCCCCCCCCAAAATTGTAAAGTGGTTATCCCACTGGCTATAGGGTGAACGCACCAATTGGTGAGTCGCTCTGGATAAGAGCGTCTGCTAAATGACGTAAATGTGCCCTTGAGCAAGGCACTTAACCCTAATTGCTCCTGTAAGTCGCTCTGGATAAGAGCGTCTGCTAAATGACTAAAATGTAAAATGTAAATGTAAATGATCCCGGGCTGTGTTGCAGCCGGCCATGACCGGGAGACCCATGAGGCGGTGTACAATTGGCCCAGCCTCGTTAGGGGAGGGTTTGGCCGGCCGGGATGTCCTTGTCCCATTGGCTCTAGCGACTCCATGTGGCGGGCTGGGTGCTGACACGGTCGCCAGTTGTACGGTGTTTCATCCGTGCGGCTGGCTTCTGGGTTAAGCAAGCAGTGTGTCAAGAAGCAGTGTGGCTTGGCAGGGTCGTATTACGGAGGATGCATGGCTCTCGACCTTCGCCTCTCCCGAGTCCGTACGGGAGTTGCAGCGATGGGACAAGACTGTATCTACCAATTGGATATCACGAAAAAGGGGTAAAAAGTACTTTGTTGAGGCACCTTTGGCAGCGATTACAGCCTCAAGTATTCTTGGGTATGATGCTACAAGCTTGGCACACCTGTATTTGGGGAGATTCTCCCGTTCTTCTCTGCAGATCTTCTCAAGCTTTGTTAGGTTGGTTGGGGAGTGTCACTGCACAGCTATTTTCAGGTCTCTCCAGAGATGTTGGATCGGGTTCAAGTCCGGGCTCTGGCTGGGCCACTCAAGGACATTTAGAGACTCCTGCGTTGTCTTGGCTGTGTGCTTAGGGTTGTTGTCCTGTTGGAAGGTGAACCTTCAGCCCAGTCTGAGGTCCTGAGCGCTCTGGAGCAGGTTTTCATCAAGGATCTCTCTGTATTTTGCTCAGTTCATCTTTCATTCGATCCTGACTAGTCTCCCAGTCCCTGCAGCTGAAAAACATTACCCACAGCAAGATGCTGCCACCACCATGCTTCACCGTAGGGATGGTGCTAGGTTTCGTCCAGACGTGACGCTTGGCATTCAGGCCAAAGAGTTCAATCTTGGTTTCATCAGACCAGAGAATCATGGTCTGAGAGTCATTTAGGTGCCTTTTGGCAAACTCCAAGCGTGCTGTCATGTGCCTTTTACTGAGTAGTGGCTTCCGTCTGGCCAACTACCATAAAGGCCTGATTGGTGGAGTGCTGCAGAGATGGTTGTCCTTCTGGAAGGTTCTCCCATCTCCACAGAGGATCTCTGGAGCTCTGTCAGAGTGACCATCGGGTTCTTGGTCACCTCCCTGACCAAGGCCCTTCTTCCCCGATTGCTCAGTTTGGCCGGGCGACCAGCTCAAGGAAGAGTCTTGGTGGTTCCAAACTTATTCCATTTAAGATTGATGGAGGCCACTGTGTCCTTGGGGACCTTCAATGCTGCAGACATTTTTTGGTACCCTGCCCCAGATCTGTGCCTCGACACAATCCTGTCTCGGAGCTCTACGGACAATTCCTTCCACCTCATGGCTTGGTTTAGGCTCTGACATGCACTGTCAACCTAGGGACCTTATATACAGTGAGGGAAAAAAGTATTTGATCCCCTGCTGATTTTGTACGTTTGCCCACTGACAAAGACATGATCAGTCTATAATTTGAATGGTAGGTTTATTTGAACAGTGAGAGACAGAATAACAACAAAAAAATACAGAAAAACGCATGTCAAAAATGTTATAAATTGATTTGCATTTTAATGAGGGAAATAAGTATTTGACCCCTCTGCAAAACATGACTTAGTACTTGGTGGCAAAACCCTTGTTGGCAATCACAGAGGTCAGACGTTTCATGTAGTTGGCCACCAGGTTTGCACACATCTCAGGAGGGATTTTGTTCCACTCCTCTTTGCAGATCTTCTCCAAGTCATTAAGGTTTCGAGGCTGACGTTTGGCAACTCGAACCTTCAGCTCCCTCCACAGATTTTCTATGGGATTAAGGTCTGGAGACTGGCTAGGCCACTCCAGGACCTTAATGTGCTACTTCTTGAGCCACTCCTTTGTTGCCTTGGCCGTGTGTTTTGGGTCATTGTCATGCTGGAATACCCATCCACGACCCATTTTCAATGCCCTGGCTGAGGGAAGGAGGTTCTCACCCAAGATTTGAAGGTACATGGCCCCGTCCATCGTCCCTTTGATGCAGTGAAGTTGTCCTGTCCCCTTAGCAGAAAAACACCCCCAAAGCATAATGTTTCCACCTCCATGTTTGACGGTGGGGATGGTGTTCTTGGGGTCATAGGCAGCATTCCTCCTCCAAACACGGCGAGATGAGTTGATGCCAAAGAGCTCCATTTTGGTCTCATCTGACCACAACACTTTCACCCAGTTCTTCTCTGAATCATTCAGATGTTCATTGGCAAACTTCAGACGGGCATGTATATGTGCTTTCTTGAGCAGGGGGACCTTGCGGGCGCTGCAGGATTTCAGTCCTTCACAGCGTAGTGGGTTACCAATTGTTTTCTTGGTGACTATGGTCCCAGTTGCCTTGAGATCATTGACAAGATCCTCCCGTGTAGTTCTGGGCTGATTCCTCACCATTCTCATGATCATTGCAACTCCACAAGGTGAGATCTTGCATGGAGCCCCAGGCCGAGGGAGATTGACAGTTCTTTTGTGTTTCTTCCATTTGCGAATAATCGCACCAACTGTTGTCACCTTCTCACCAAGCTGCTTGGCGATGGTCTTGTAGCCCATTCCAGCCTTGTGTAGGTCTACAATCTTGTCCCTGACATCCTTGGAGAGCACTTTGGTCTTGGCCATGGTGGAGAGTTTGGAATCTGATTGATTGATTGCTTCTGTGGACAGGTGTCTTTTATACAGGTAACAAGCTGAGATTAGGAGCACTCCCTTTAAGAGTGTGCTCCTAATCTCAGCTTGTTACCTGTATAAAAGACACCTGGGAGCCAGAAATCTTTCTGATTGAGAGGGGGTCAAATACTTATTTCCCTAATTAATATGCAAATCAATTTATAACATTTTTGACATGCGTTTTTCTGGATTTTTTTGTTGTTATTCTGTCTCTCACTGTTCAAATAAACCTACCATTAAAATTATAGACTGATCATTTCTTTGTCAGTGGGCAAACATACAAAATCAGCAGGGGATCAAATACTTTTTTCCCTCACTGTAGATAGGTGTGTGCCTTTCCAAATCATGTCCAATCAATTGAATTTACCACAGGTGGACTCCAATCAAGTTGTAAAAACATCTCAAGGATGATCAATGGAAACAGGATGCACCTGAGCTCAATTTTGAGTCTCATAGCAAAGGGTCTGAATACTTATGTAAATAAGCTAAAAAATATATATATATATATATATTATATCTCTAAAAACCTGGTTTCGCTTTGTCAATGTGGGGTATTGTGTGTAGGTTGTTGAGGAAAAACAATTATTTAATCCATTTTAGAATAAGGCTGTAATGTAACAAAATGTGGAAAAGGGGAAGGGGTCTGAATACATTCCGAATGCACTGTAAATGAACATGCATAATGTAATAATGCGTGTCAAGTATGTAAGTTAAAAACACTATGTTAAAAGCACTGTGTGTGAGTGTCCCTATCCTTGCCAACAAACAAAAAGAGACGTGAATGGATCATCAGTGGTTCACCAATCAGGCCCTTGATGGGCTTGGCAGTAGTAACCAGGCGTGATGTGTAATGATTCTTTTTTGGGGAAAAACCCTCAGAAAACTGGACACAGGAATGTTCTTGCAAAATTCTTATGAAATGTGTCTAGAACATTAATATCTTATATTGTGAGAACATGGCAACCATGTTCTGTGTATGTTTGGTGGGACGTTGATGGAATATTCTTCTAACCCTCAGAAAACTGGACACAGGAATGTTCTTGCAATGTTCTCATGAAATCTGTCTAGAACAGTAATATCTTATATCTTGTATATTCTGAGAACATTGTAACAGATAGAATGTTCCCCTAACTAACAGAAAACTGAGCACTCAAAGATTAGGGTAATATTACGAGTACAATTACAAAAATGTTCTCTCTCCCTAGAATTGTTAGCTTGGTGTAGTGTACACATATTCACAGTGAAGTACAGGGACATCACTGTAAAAGCCTACCGTATTGACACCATTGGATATGCTTTGATTATACTGGGATCCTTGTGTTTTGCAGGACAAGCCTGATTCCATGTGACTCCAACCATTTGGCAAAAAACCTGTCAATCCCTCTCGTCAACCAATGGCAACAGCCCTACAACAACCATGACGATGGCAAGCTCTTTCGCAGGTGTGACCACATACTCCTAGCAAAATGCTTGTCTTTGTACTGCATCTATGTAGCAACAGTTTTGGTTGAATTAGTTCCTAAATTCATAAGAGGTTATTTTGTCCATCAGTCAATTATGTTTAAAAATATATATATATTTGGCTGCTTCTTGGCCTTGAAACATTACAGAACATTCAGATTGAAATGAACGATATGAGGTAGATATGATTGTCTGTCATGTAGAATCGGGGATCATGTCAGCGCAGAGAGACAGCGCGAGAAAAAGAGCAAGAGTATATTTACTATGCCCCCATATGCCTGTAGGAGGAGCTTCCCCAGCACAGAGCTGCTGTCAGTTGAGGTCAGCCTAGACTCCGACTCCCAGAATACCGCGGGGCAGCAGAATGGAGAGGCCTGGTGCACAGCAGGTGCTGTAGTCACACACTCATACACACTACCCGTATTGTTCACAAATAAGGACACATGACAATACACCACACACAGACGGCCACGCATCTATGGTACCATGGACACATGCATGCATGCGATTGCCACACATGCAAGCGTGCAGAAATCATGCACATGTGCACACACACACACGTGCTCTCATAAAATTAATCACGCACACGCCTACAGCTAACACACATTTCATGTTGGTTTTGACAACATATGTCCTTCCCCTAGATAAAGACTACACCCCTTCCATGATGGTCCTGTGTGGTTCTCTAAACTCGCTGCCCAGCTGCAAGTCCCTGGCAAGCCTTAAGTCCAGTGAGTGCCTGGTACACATCAGCACAGACAACAGCCCTGCCCTCTCTCCCAGCTAGGGGGCACCAAAGAACGACTGCCATTCACAAACACTGGAGGAAACAGCTCAACCCAACATGAGAAACCTGGGTTGTGTTCATTAAGCACCAAATGGATGAAGACAAACTGAAACAGGGAGGGACTACCTGGACTTGTCAAAAAAGAAACACAAATGTTCCATTTTTTCTTCTGCTGTCAAAAGGAGGACGATGTTCCCCCTCAATAAACCTTTAAAATTCCCTTTATTCCACCCTCATTCCTCAAATCCAACACTCCCTCATTTCAAAACACTGTCATTCTATAAGACTGTCTCATCTCTGACTGAATAGCTTGTCTATCACATGCATCTCCAATCGTGTCAAAAAAGAAAACCAACCGGAAGAGCTGCAGTACTGCCCAAATCCTTAAATTCCACTGTCTTTCAATGTCTTTACTCGGCTGAACTGCGGACCACCTGCTATAGATGGGAAATATGTCTGCTTACTTGAAAACATAGCCATTATACAATTACAGATCGTAGTGTACAATTTACAGCAACTACAAACATGTATCTCTCCCATTGACCAAAACATTAAACCTTCCTAGAGGGTTGTACTGTAGAATTACACCTATCGGTTTGTGTTCGTCTGTCTCTGTCTTCAGTCTTGCAAGTCTGTCAGTAGTAGTATCGGTACTCGTATCTACTCTCTGCCTGCTGTGAACTCTTGCAGTGCAGGACTTTTAACTGTCAGGACCTCCTTGACACCATTCAGAAGCTTAACACATTTCTTTGCCATATTACACCTTATGTGGCATTATTACAAGTCTGTTAGTACAAGCTAACATTGAGGGATGCAAAAGGGTTTGTATTATATAATTTCTAAACATACAGTAGTGGCCATTGATTGTGAAGAATAAGTAAGTAGTTCTTCATATTACCAAGTAAGTGTCAATGAAGCTTTGGGCCTGACTCAGTCAATTCTGGTATCCAGGTTTAAAGCATATGGCGAAATTGAAATTGCTCATGTACTGCACGAATGCATGGAATTTAAGTGTGGGAAACAACAAGAGACATAACTGCATATCAATTCAAACAGGCTGTGTTGCTGCGGGGGACGGATGTTGCCTTTCACTTATCCTGCAGACCTGGATACCGGTTTTGATTGAATTGTCTGTCTGTGTGTCTTTGTGTGAGTGTAGGAGTTACTTGTATGAGTATTGGATGTTCAGTTTTTTTGGGGGTGTATGCTATATTTATTTTGTATTATGATTCATTCCTATTATACTTACTCGTTTTATGTATCTTCATGTAGATCACTATCTCATCCCAGGTGTTGGGAGTTTGGACGTATGTCATTTAAAACAGCAATAAAACAGCCTTTTTTGTTAAACATTACATTGCTTGTGTTGTTGCTAAAGTAGGGCTACTTATGGTACAGTGCCTTCAGAAAGTATTCACACCCCTTGACTTTTTCCACAATTTGCTTAACAAGTCACATAGTAAGTTGCATGGACTCACTCTGTGTGCAATAATAGTGTTTAACATGATTTTTGAATGACTACCTCATCTCTGTACCCCACACATACAATTATTTGTAAGGTCCCTCAGTCGAGCAGTGAATTTCAAACACAGATTCAACCACAAAGACCAGGGAGGTTTTCAAATGCCTCACAAAGAAGGGCACCTATTGGTAGATGGGTATAAAACAAAAAGCAGACATTGAATATCTCTTTGAGCATGGTGAAGTTATTAATTACACTTTGGATGGTGTACCAATACACACAGTCACTACAAAGATACAGGCTTCCTTCCTAACTCAGTTGCTGGAGAGGAAGGAAACCCCTCAGGGATTTCACCATGAGGCCAATGGTAACTTTAAAACAGTTACAGAGTTTAATGGCTGTGATAGGAGAAAACTGAGGATGGTTCAACAACATTGTAGTTACTCCAAAATACTAACCTAAATGACAGAGTGAAAAGAAGGAAGCCTGTACAGAATACAAATATTCCAAAACATGCATCCGGCACTAAAGTAAAACTGCAAAAAAATGTGGCAAGGAAATTAACTTTATGTCCTGAATACAAAGCATTATGTTTGGGGCAAATACAACACAACACATCACCGAGTACCCCTCTTCATATTTTCAAGCATGATGGTGGCTGCATCATGCTATGGATATGCTTGTCATCGGCAAGGACTAAGGAGTTTTTTGGGATGAAAATAAACGGAATAGAGCTACAGTGGGGGAAAAAAGTATTTAGTCAGCCACCAATTGTGCAAGTTCTCCCACTTAAAAAGATGAGAGAGGCCTGTAATTTTCATCATAGGTACACGTCAACTATGACAGACAAAATGAGGAAAAAAAATCCAGAAAATCACATTGTAGGAGTTTTTATGAATTTATTTGCAAATTATGGTGGAAAATAAGTATTTGGTCAATAACAAAAGTTTCTCAATACTTTGTTATATACCCTTTGTTGGCAATGACACAGGTCAAATGTTTTCTGTAAGTCTTCACAAGGTTTTCACACATTGTTGCTGGTATTTTGGCCCATTCCTCCATGCAGATCTCCTCTAGAGCAGTGATGTTTTGGGGCTGTCGCTGGGCAACACGGACTTTCAACTCCCTCCAAAGATTTTCTATGGGGTTGAGATCTGGAGACTGGCTAGGCCACTCCAGGACCTTGAAATGCTTCTTACGAAGCCACTCCTTCGTTGCCCGGGCGGTGTGTTTGGGAACATTGTCATGCTGAAAGACCCAGCCACGTTTCATCTTCAATGCCCTTGCTGATGGAAGGAGGTTTTCACTCAAAATCTCACGATACATGGCCCCATTCATTCTTTCCTTTACACGGATCAGTCGTCCTGGTCCCTTTGCAGAAAAACAGCCCCAAAGCATGATGTTTCCACCCCCATGCTTCACAGTAGGTATGGTGTTCTTTGGATGCAACTCAGCATTCTTTGTCCTCCAAACACGACGAGTTGAGTTTTTACCAAAAAGTTATATTTTAGTTTCATCTGACCATATGACATTCTCCCAATCCTCTTCTGGATCATCCAAATGCACTCTAACAAACTTCAGACGGGCCTGGACATGTACTGGCTTAAGCAGGGGGACACGTCTGGCACTGCAGGATTTGAGTCCCTGGCGGCGTAGTGTGTTACTGATGGTAGGCTTTGTTACTTTGGTCCCAGCTCTCTGCAGGTCATTCACTAGGTCCCCCCGTGTGGTTCTGGGATTTTTGCTCACCGTTCTTGTGATCATTTTGACCCCACGGGGTGAGATCTTGCGTGGAGCCCCAGATCGAGGGAGATTATCAGTGGTCTTGTATGTCTTCCATTTCCTAATAATTGCTCCCACAGTTGATTTCTTCAAACCAAGCTGCTTACCTATTGCAGATTCAGTCTTCCCAGCCTGGTGCAGGTCTACAATTTTGTTTCTGGTGTCCTTTGACAGCTCTTTGGTCTTGGCCATAGTGGAGTTTGGAGTGTGACTGTTTGAGGTTGTGGACAGGTGTCTTTTATACTGATAACAAGTTCAAACAGGTGCCATTAATACAGGTAATAAGTGGAGGACAGAGGAGCCTCTTAAAGAAGAAGTTACAGGTCTGTGAGAGCCAGAAATCTTGCTTGTTTGTAGGTGACCAAATACTTATTTTCCACCATAATTTGCAAATAAATTCATTAAAAATCCTACAATGTGATTTTCTGGAGAAAAACAATCTCAATTTGTCTGTCATAGTTGACGTGTACCTATGATGAAAATTACAGGCCTCTCTCATCTTTTTAAGTGGGAGAACTTGCACAATTGGTGGCTGACTAAATACTTTTTTCCCCCACTGTAAGCACAGGCTAAATCCTAGAGGATAACCTGGTTCAGTCTGCTTTCCAACAGACACTGGGAGACAAATTCACCTTTCAGCAGGACAATAACCTAAAACACAAGGCCAAATATACACTGGAGTTGCTTAACAAGATAACATTGAATATTCCTCAGTGGCCTAGTTACAGTTTTGACTTAAATTGGCTTGAAAATCTATGTCAAGACTTGAAAATGGCTTTCTAGCAATTTTCAACAACCAACTTGACAGAGCTTGAAGAATTTTTAAAAGAATAATGTGCAAATATTGTACAATCCAGGTGTGTAATCGCTGCCAAAGGTGATTTTAACATGTATTGACTCAGGAGTGTGAATACTTATTTATATACATTTGATATTTCTGTTTTTCATTTTCAATAAATTTGGAAAAAATTCTAAAAACATGTTTTCACTTTGTCATTATGGGGTATTGTGTGTAGTTGGGTGAGAAAAAAAAGAGTTCATACATTTTGAATTCAGGCTGTAACACAACAAAATGTGGAATAAGTCAAGCGGCATGAGTACTTTTTGAAGGCACTGTATGTTGACTTACTGCATTTGCTATGTCACAATATAACGTTATCTGTTAGTTTACTGTAGTGCACAACCAGTATCCATTCTTCTTGTTGAATGATATTATGTGTCTTTGTGTCATGTAGGTGCAGATATGGGTTCTAGTTCTGCAAGACGTGCCAGTTTTTCAGTTTTTAAGAGCCTGATTTCAAAGTTTTCTTCTTTGACCTGAATGGAAGTACAAAATGCTATTCACAATTCAAAATGAAACCAAAAAATGAATGATGAGACAATATTCTATGTTATGTTTCCGCCATCCGCCATTAAATTCAAAATTAGACCTTTAAGATCTAAGAGAACCAAGACATACTGTTGTGTACTTCGCAAAACCTACCAGATCTTCCCCTTTTGTAGTCTTCCTCCTTTTGTATTCTAACTTTTAGTAAACCAACACCTCTCCCCTTTTAAAAATGGACCAGTCGAATGTTACAAAGATTGGGGTCAGAGGATAGAGTCATTAATTAATTAGCACAGTCAAACACACATAGAGGTCTGTTTGACTACAGCAAACAACTGCTGTAGGTCCCTCGGTGGAAGATGGTAATATATTATGTTGAGGAGTGAGGACACATTCCTGGTTGACATACTGTCCTTTTAGTTCCCTGGGTATAACCCAATGATGTATACACACACACACACACACGCACTCGCACACACATCTATGGTATGACCCCATGTGGGCTATGCTATGGGTCATGGAAGGTTTGCGAAGGGTAAGTCATTTTCTGTCATGACACCTTTTGACTTGTGAGGGCAGCAACCTAGACATACAGTATGTACACTGTGTGCGTGGACATGAGGTAGTGAGCATGACCGTTCTGTGATAATGCTGCTCATTCACTCCCTCCCATGTCAGGGAGGCCGATGCGAAGACCTGTTATCTCTGGTGTAGGTTGAAGTTCCACTTGAATTGCTGATCTAGGGTCAGTTTTGCTTTGTACCTACCAGTGGGTAACCTTTTAATTTGGGTTGGTTAAAGCTGATCTAGAATTTGTGGTTAGAAGCTACTACTTCTGGTTTGAATGTTATCTCTATCCCCTCTCCGGTCACACAATTGGCACTCCCTCTCTCAGGCTCAGGGACAGTTATCTATCACAATGCACACTGTCACACACCACCCACGTTCCACAATCGCCCCTCTGTGGAGATACACCTCGTTGTCTACCCTCAGACAGACACACAAATACACACACACTAAACCGCAGTCATGATTACATAAGAGTGAGCCCGTTATTAGAATGAATTAAGATATGCTTATGCATTGAATTAATTAATGGATGGACGGATAGATGAATGTCATATGAAGACTGCACATTGTGCACAACAAATATTATTTCAGAATCTCAGGTTAAAAGTAATTTTAAACAAAAATATTAAAATGGAACGTTTGATATGCTTGAATAGCCTAGGCTATGTCATAAGATGTTGAATCAGTGTCCAGTTTGATTATCTCAGTATTGAAACAAAAACAAGAGAAAGTTCAAATCAATATGACAAATGAATTGGGCAGTGAAAGATCTTTTTTTTCTGTCACAGTGATATATTGGTAGTGAGTTGCTCAATGGATTTATGGTAATACATTTGACTAACCAACCAAATCTCAGATTGAAAACTGGACCCACCCCGCATAATTAAATCCACACGAGCGTGAAAGTTGTTTGAGTTGGCGTGAATCAACAACTCAAGAAACTCCACCGTGACCACCTCAACTTAATTGGTGATCAAAATAAGTTACACTGCGAATAATTATGATGATATATCGTTTACTAAGAAGACTAATGATATGTAGTTTATTAACATACTGAGGTTGGACTGCTTCCTTCTTTGATAAAAGTGCTGAAATAGCTCAATATCGTCACAAAGGAACTCTGCTGGCTGGCTAGCTAGCCAACTCGCACGAGCGAGAGAGTAAAGAAGATACATTTATCACCGGGTAACTTCATCTCGTAAACTATTTCGTAGGCATAGCTCAGTTAGAACACTATTTAGCTAGCTAGCCATTGAAAACATGTACTGACTTGAATAGTTATCAAAGTGAAGTAGCTAAGAACTGAGGGAACAGGTAGCCACTGTTAGCTAGAGTGAGACCTCCCCAGTTAAGTTCTAGAAGTTGGGTATTCAATACTTTTTACCAGAAATTCAACGAGCTAGCTAAACCTTGAGTTGCAGCCGTTTGGGAAGATGTCTTGCCGAGGCGGAGTCAGCCAGAACCGGGGAGCCACTTCTGGTCCACAGCCCTTGAGAGCAACAGTTCCATTCCAGCTGCACAGCAAAGCACAGACCAGCTTGAAAAATGGCAAGTCAGGTATGGTAAACAGACAGTACAGATATAGCTAGCTACCTACATGTTTTCATTTATTATCTCATTCAACATTGGTAACTGCTTTCAAAAGTCATGCTTTCATCTGATAACAACCAGTAAAATGTATAACAGAACAATTCAATAATTGCCTGACAAAGGAAATGGTTGAAACAATGTTACACCCATTCAACCATCCAATGCTGAATAAGGTCACTTGAACAAAAATACAAAATGGCTGTAAAATACAGCAATTACTGTAATATTACTCTAGGCTACATAACGTACTATATTTGAAACTGTCATATAGTAGTTGTAGCAATACAGCTGTACTGTTGGAACCTTCCGGTAACAGTTACTAGTCAAAACAGGTTGAACGCCTTTCTGGGCTTCATGGAGTATCAGTCTCCCCATCACCAATTACAACTAAAAGAGGTGTAATGGGGTTGTACACTAACTTTTTCCACTGGTGGCAACAGCACATTTTGTGTCCTATAATGTGCCTGCATTCCATACAGAACCAGGCTAATAATGACTAGCCATTTTTTAAATTAATTTAATTAGCATGCCCTTTAATTGATTTGGATAGATTTACTGTAACAGTATTTATTGCAGATTTCAAAGGCCATGTGTTCTTTTCTGCTAAACCCTCTAGAGGGCAGAATTTGAAAGCGGGGAGGACTGATTTAGCCCAGTTTTTTTCTCTCTCAAAATCACCCTTTTCTAATAGAACATCCAATTTTGTTTTTCAATGTCAACAACGATGCTTAAACCACATCGTGGGACCATTTTTGAGTTCTGGGGAAAATCTGAGAAATTAAGATTTTTTTCCTTGTGTGCGCACACCAGCCAGACAGTTGTTTGGCTAGCAATGTTTCTGTAGCACACTTTGTAGTTACCTTTTTAATTGCCTTTCCATCTACCCGAAAACGGATAGGCTATCATAAGCATTGTTAACGGCTACACAAAGTGGTAGACATATAGGTCCAATGCGCACCGCACATGCAACTAAAAGATACTGGCCCCAAAAAAATTACATTACTGGCCCGGGTCAAGATCTGACAGGAAAATGAATGATGCGTGCATAATTTAAATAGCAGGTGATTTTTTTTTAATCTTTCATTTTTTTGCGTTTGAGCAAGGAGCCTATACAGGGTTCATAAACATTGACAAGTCAAATTCAAGGACTTCCAAATACTTTTTCAAGCACTTAATTGTAATTTTAATTGTACATTTCATATTTAATTGTTTTTAGCCTACAGGGAAAAAAACTCCCCTCAAAATGTATGCCAAATAGTATGCATTACCACTTTAAGAATATATATATATATTTTATAGGCCTACCCAATGGCATTATGCATTGACATTCACATTTATTTGTACATTCTAAAATGTCAGAATAATGTGGGCATTGCCTGACTAAATAGACAGCATACTCCCGAACAGTGGCGGCTCCTGAAAAAATTCTCAGGGGGGGCAATTTTTCTGATGATTTAGGTGACCTACACACATTTTAAAAAAGATATGTCCAGCAACAACATGAAGACAGGGGCAGCATATAAGTCAATACCAGAAGCATTTATTGACTGATCTCAAAAGTGTTGGCTTACCAGGGTTGGTGGAGCCCTCAGTTTCATCTTTGCCTCGCAAAGCTAACTCAAACACTCCGCAAAACTTCACACACTGGATTAGCCGGCTGAGGATGTGGCGGTTCTTGCTAATGTCGTAGTAAATATATTTGTTATAGTGAATATGGAATATGATATGTTGAGTAAAATGTTGTGCTAAGATCTATTTAGGTCAGGAGCTGGTTATAAGTTCTGTTCCTATCCAATAACAATGGACAAAAGGGTCCTATCTTGTCAGCCTTGTCAGTTTCAGTTCTCCAGTAAATTTGTGATTATCAACACTAACCTCATCGTTGTGGCGGCGGACAGCTAGCCTGTATCCCTCATCCAGTTGAGTGGGAATGTTCACTCTCCCCAAAGCAGACAATCTCAAACAGCTATCCATGTGGGTCTTTGACAGCTCATGTTTCTTAATCTTTCCTGAAAGATGGTGCATGTCCGTTACACACCAGTCGCTGTCCAAGCGGTGCTGTCTGCCGTGCCGCCTTCAGGGTGAAAGAGTAAGCAGGGGGTAGCAGAAGACTGCATTAGCTACATCGCAGCCTGCTAGCCAGGTTTTTCGTTCGTACCAATTTTTGGAAAATCCTCGGGTGTAGGACTTCCCCCCTTTAGTAGAAACCTGTTGAATTATTAAATTTGGTCTGGGAGGTCCTAATTGTTTCGTTGCCAATTTATCTTCATTTGTTCGCCGACAAAAAGGAACTTCTTTCAAAGACACAATCGAGTTGCACTGAAGCCTAGCCATTTTGACAGTAATAGTGAATTGATTGACGCTGCTACCCGCTCTTTTCTTAGTTACGTTCATGGTTATGTTACGTATGACGAAAGCGCGTAAGTGCAAGCCCTCAGAAACCCATAGAGATTGTATTGAAAGCTCTGATATTTGAAAAAAATAGATTTTACATGGGAGTCTATGACAGACTTCTGGGCGATTTTCAACCTGACTGAAATCGCCCCAAAAGGGGGGGGGGGGCATTTGAAGCACGACTTTAGCCTGATTGGACATTTAGTGGCACTGTGGCAGATCAGACGTCTAGATTACAACACTGATAACTACTGTTGCCGTGATATAATTGATTAGAAAAAAAATCCCTTCCTTTTCCCGTTTGGCAGTGCGTCGCCCATATCGCCCTATTGAACACACCGCCCCTGCTCCCGAAACAAACGCACTAATGAAGTCTGTCCATGTGGTAGCTAGTCAGTCTCGCCATTTGAGATGTTGAAGAGTTATTGATGGGTTATTGTATCATGTTTTAAAATGAGAAAGCCACCAAAAACAGGGTTGCCGTTGTAATGGAACTGGTTTGTATGGAAAACCAAGTTTAAGCCAACATTTCAATGTTTTCTTGCTCATAATAACCTCATGTTTTTACCACAACAAGCACAACAGACTAGCGCAACACCCTTCTATTGAAACGGCGAGAAACAAACTAAATGAAATCACCGAATAATTATTTTGGAGCAGTAGAACTTCTAAATCGGCTACCATAACTTCAATGACTTTTCAAGGACCAAATAGCCTAGAAAATCTGAAATTTCCTCAAGGTAGGCTATTCCATGATGACTGAATTGCATATCACAAATATTCAACCAATACTTTTTAAATAGCTGGTTTGCATACCCATTCTTGCCTTAGCATTTACTGGTAGATATCATAACATCTTTCCTACCCTTACCGCTGTTGGTCTTCAGTAAGCTGCTCCACGCAACAACGAGCTGTTTGAGAGCTGCGCGCTCTCTCTGCCTGGCAGATTATCTATAGGCTGTGTGCTGCGCATGTGATAAATAATCGACATGAAGAATGAACCGCTTCATGAATCCATCAGTTTTTGTATCAATTATATAGCTTAGATAAGGGGTACTCAACTCTTACCCCACGAGGTTCGGAGCCTGCTGGTTTTCAGTTCTACCTGATCATCAATTGCACACACCTGGTGTTCCAGGTCTAAATCAGTCCCTGATTAGAGAGCAACAATGGGGGGGAAAACGCAGTGGAACTGGCTTTGAGGTCCAGAGTTGAGTATGAGGGGCCAAGAAAAAAAAAATTCATAATGCTATTTTTAATATCACTGGCCCAAGCAGGCCACTGACGGGGATGATCAAGTGGCCTGGAGGGTTTCCAAAACCTCCCCTGTATGTTGAGCCTTGACACACACAGACCAGGGCATTCCCGTGCCTTTGTTACCTCTTCAGAAAGTTGGTTTATTTTTGGTTAATTGCACATTACTGTTTGAATAAATAATTTTTCTTGAGAACGTAAAACTAATGTGACCAGGTTAAAAAAGAAATTGCTGGCCCCCTTGTAAGTAATTAAACATTTGTGTCGCACTGCCAAGTAAAACGGTGGCAAATGCGACTGTTTTGGCCGCAGTATCGAACCCTGTGTAACTTCAGCTGTCCTCTGCTAGATGGGTAACTTGTTAAAATACCAAAATATACACAAATACAGGTCTCATCTAAGTCCCTGAACCCACCTAAATTATATTGAAGTAACTGCCCAGTGAAAATCTCACTTTTTAAAAGTTCATATTCTGTTAACTCGTATCCAAATAATGTTTTTGACTCGTCCTATAATCGTATTTGTTGACCAACGGATAAATTAGGGTAAAAATTCAACAACAAAAAACCCACCTTTTAAAGTCATATCTCATAGAGACCGTTTCAAAATTGCTTGCTATTTCCTCATAGAACATGATGCCATCTCCCTGAGGAGGATGAGCTGGCCAATCAGCGGTCAACTTGCATCCTAATATTTTAAATGACCAGTATACGCCCACATCATTATGTTGTTGTGGTACCCACATACCATTCCAACACAGAAAAGCAGATTTTTGACATACTTAATGACAATTTTTTGGAAGGAAAACTGTTTCATTCACACTACGTGACCAAAAATATGTAGACACCTGCTCGTCGAACATCTTAATCCAAAATCATGGGCATTAATATGGAATTGGTCCCCCCTTTGCTGCAATAACAGCCTCCACTCTTCTGGAAAGGCTTTCTAGAAGTTGGAACATTGCTGCGGGGACTTGCTTCCATTCAGCCACGAGCATTAGTGAGGTCGGGCACTGATTTTGGGTGATTAGGCCTGGCTCACAGTCGGCTTCCAATTCATCCCAAAGGTGTTTGATGGGGTTGAGGTCAGGGCTCTGTGCAGGCCAGTCAAGTTCTTCCGCACCGATCTCGACAAACCATTTCTTTATGGACCTCGCTTTGTGCAAGGGGGCATTGTCATGCTGAAACAGGAAATGGCCTTCGCCAAACTGTTGCCACAGAATCGTCTAGAATGTCATTGTATGCTGTAGTGTTAAGATTTCCCTTCACTGGAACTAAGGGGCCTAGCCCGAACAATGAAAACAGCCCCAGACCATTATTCCTCCTCCACCAAACTTTACAGTTGGCACTATGCATTCGGGCAGGTAGCGTTCTCCTGGCATCCGCCAAACCCAGATTGCCAGATGGTGAAGTGTGATTTATCACTCCAGTGAACGCTTTTCCACTGCTCCAGAGTTCAATGGCGGCGAGCTTTACACCACTCTAGCTGACGTTTGGCATTGCGCATGGTGATCTAGGCTGCTCGGCCATGGAAACCCATTTAATGAAGCTCCCGCCGAACAGTTCTTGTGCTGACATTGGTTCCAGAGGCAGTTTGGAACTCGGTAGTGAGTGTTGCAACCGAGGACAGACAATTTTTACTCGCTTCAGCACTCAGGAGTCCCGTTCTGTGCGCTTGTGTGACCTACCACTTCGCAGCTGAGTCGTTGTTGCTCCTAGACTTCACAATAACAGCACTTATAGTTGACCGGGGCAGCTCCAGCAGGGCAGAAATTTGACGAACTGACTTGTTGGAAAGGTGGCATCCTATGCCGGTGCCACGTTGAAAGTCACTGAGCTCTTCAGTAAGGCCATTCTATTGCCAATGTTTGTCTATGGAGATTGCATGGCTGTGTGCTCAATTTTATACACCTGTCAGCAACGGGTATTGCTGAAATGGCCAAATCCACTCATTTGAAGGGGTGTCCACATACTTTTGTGTATATTTACTGTAAGTACACTGAACAAAACTATAAATGTAACATGTAAATTGTTGGTCCCATGTTTAATGAGCTGGGAAAAAAATAAAATCCCAGAAATGTTCCATGTGCACAAAAAGCGTATTTCTCTGAAATGTGCACCAATTTGTTGACATCCCTGTTAGTGAGAATTTCTCATTTTCCAAGATAATCCATTCACCTGACAGGTATGGCATATCAAGAAGGTGATTAAACAGCATGATCATTACACAGGTGCACCTTGTGCTGGGGACAATAAAAGGCCACTTTTAATATGTGCAGTTCTGTCACAATGCCACAGGTGTCTCAAGTTTTGAGGGAGCGTGCAATTAGCATTATGACTGCAGGAATGCCAGAGAATTGAATGTTAATTTCTCTACCATAAGCTGCCTCCAACGTCGTTTTAGAGAATTTGGTAGTACGTCCAAAACCCAGAACCTCCACATTCAGCTTCTTCACCTGCGGGATCGTCTGTAATAAATCCCTTTTGTGAGGAAAAACTCATTCTGATTGGCTGGGCCTGGCTCCCCAGTGGGTGGGCCTATGCCCTCCAAGGCGCACCAATGGCTGCACCCCTGCCTAGTCGTGAAATTCATGGATTTGGGCCCAATTTATTTAAATTGACTGATTTCCATATGAGCTGTAACTCAGGAAAATCTTTGAAATTGTTGCGTTTTTATATTTTTGTTCAGTATAATTATAGGTCGTATATCATAGAAATCTGGACACACTGGGCAGTTACTGTAATGTTACAGTATTATCCTAGGTAAAATCTTATTTCAGCAGGTGCAAAATGAAAGACATGATTGCTATAGACTTGACATTATACACGTTTTCCTAACGATGCATGTTAAAATTCCCCTCCTTTCATTGTTATCAGAGAAGAAGACCGAAGCGCGACAGGTGACCCCTGGGATGCGGCGGACACACTCTCTGGACGCCATTGTGGGCCCCTACCTGCAGGGCCACTGGCCCAAAGAGCCCGAGGGCCAGGCAAGCCTCTGCAGGAAGGACCAATCAACCCAGGTGACTACCTCCCATTGAATCCTCTGACAATATCAGTTTGTTATATTTCCTCTAGTTTATGTATCTGAATGGGGAAAGTCACAGAATGTTTTTGATGTAAGACCAGGAAAGGTAATTATAGATTTTCTGCTAGTTTGGCTTTGTTAGGAACATTAAGTTATATGTATGTAGAATAATAACAAACAAAATGTACCAGAATAGGCAATGCCTACATCATTCGACTCATGTTTTGAGGTTAATAATAGCCAGCATAAGTGACCGTAAATTACCTGTAAAAGTACACTGCTCAAAAAAATTAAGGGAACACTAAAATAACACATCCTAGATCTGAATGAATGAAATAATCTTATTAAATACTTTTTTCTTTACATAGTTGAATGTGCTGACAACAAAATCACACAAAAATGATCAATGGAAATCAAATTTATCAACCCATGGAGGTCTGGATTTGGAGTCACCCTCAAAATTAAAGTGGAAAACCACACTACAGGCTGATCCAACTTTGATGTAATGTCCTTAAAACAAGTCAAAATGAGGCTCAGTAGTGTGTGTGGCCTCCACGTGCCTGTATGACCTCCCTACAACGCCTGGGCATGCTCCTGATGAGGTGGCGGATGGTCTCCTGAGGGATCTCCTCCCAGACCTGGACTAAAGCATCCGCCAACTCCTGGACAGTCTGTGGTGCAACGTGGCGTTGGTGGATGGAGCGAGACATGATGTCCCAGATGTGCTCAATTGGATTCAGGTCTGGGGAACGGGCGGGCCAGTCCATAGCATCAATGCCTTCCTCTTGCAGGAACTACTGACACACTCCAGCCACATGAGGTCTAGCATTGTCTTGCATTAGGAGGAACCCAGTGCCAACCGCACCAGCATATGGTCTCACAAGGGGTCTGAGGATCTCATCTCGGTACCTAATGGCAGTCAGGCTACCTCTGGCGAGCACATGGAGGGCTGTGCGGCCCCCCAAAGAAATGCCACCCCACACCATGACTGACCCACCGCCAAACCGGTCATGCTGGAGGATGTTGCAGGCAGCAGAACGTTCTCCACAGTGTCTCCAGACTCTGTCACGTCTGTCACATGTGCTCAGTGTGAACCTGCTTTCATCTGTGAAGAGCACAGGGCGCCAGTGGCGAATTTGCCAATCTTGGTGTTCTCTGGCAAATGCCAAACGTCCTGCACGGTGTTGGGCTGTAAGCACAACCCCCACCTGTGGACGTCGGGCCCTCATACCACCCTCATGGAGTCTGTTTCTGACCGTTTGAGCAGACACATGCACATTTGTGGCCTGCTGGAGGTCATTTTGCAGGGCTCTGGCAGTGCTCCTCCTGCTCCTCCTTGCACAAAGGCGGAGGTAGCAGTCCTGCTGCTGGGTTGTTGCCGTCCTACGGCCTCCTCCACGTCTCCTGATGTACTGGCCTGTCTCCTGGTAGCGCCTCCATGCTCTGGACACTACGCTGACAGACACAGCAAACCTTCTTGCCACAGCTCGCATTGATGTGCCATCCTGGATGAGCTGCACTACCTGAGCCACTTGTGTGGGTTGTAGACTCCGTCTCATGCTACCACTAGAGTGAAAGCACCGCCAGCATTCAAAAGTGACCAAAACATCAGCCAGGAAGCATAGGAACTGAGAAGTGGTCTGTGGTCACCACCTGCAAAACCAGTCCTTTATTGGGGGTGTCTTGCTAATTGCCTATAATTTCCACCTGTTGTCTATTCCATTTGCACAACAGCATGTGAAATTTATTGTCAATCAGTGTTGCTTCCTAAGTGGACAGTTTGATTTCACAGAAGTGTGATTGACTTGGAGTTACATTGTGTTTAAGTGTTCCCTTTATTTTTTTGAGCAGTGTATTTGTGTCTAGGCTTTGTTGAGGTTGCATTTAGGGGTGTGGGGGTGGGCTTGTAGCAGAGGATTGAGAGCGAGCGAAAAGACAAGTGGTGAGAGAGACAGAAAAAGGAGTGTTAGGTGGTTGTTCTGCTCTCTGAAGGAGTGAGAACCACAGTCATGTGAACATGCCTGGAGTCAGCTGACAGGGCCTTTTTCTGTTACGCAGCAGGCTGCACCCATCCTATCTGTGTGCTTGCTCTCTGCAGGGACTCGCCACTAGCCCACATCCTCTCCCTCTTTCTCCATCTCTCTGAGGCTTGAGAGGCAGCAAGCAGACTGTAGATGTGTGTAGGGGTACAGTGTGAGTCTCTTACCTCAAGCCCTTATGCTCTGCTCTCTGTGCAAAAATGTGTGTGTTCAACAAAGTAGACATGATGTAACATCACTTGAGCATAGAGCACATCTGGTAATAGACAGTGGACATGACACTGTGTCTTACATGTCCCCTCCTTTGTCCTAGTCAAAAGGTCAATGTTGCGCATTATTAGACATTATTCAATGCCCTAAATGATTTTTTAAAAAAGAAACACAATTGAAGACACCAATGCAGTTATGCGTTTTCAGTGGTGGAAAAGTACCCAATTGTCATACTTGAGTAAAAGTAGAGATGCCTTTAATAGAAAGTTACTCAAGTAAAAGTGAAAGTCACCCAGTAAAATACTACTTGAGTAAAAGTATTTGGTTTTAAATATACTTAAGTATCAAAAGTAAATTGAATTGCTAAAATATACTTAAGTATCAAAAGTAAAAGTATAAATCATTTCAAATTCCTTAAATTAAGCAAAGTGGACAGCACCATGTTCTTGTTTTTTAAATGTACGGATAGCCAGGCGCACACTAACACTCAGATATCATTTACAAAATATGCATTTGTGTTTATTGAGTCCGCCAGAACATGGGCAGTAGGGATGACCACGTGTTCTCTTGATAAGTGCGTGAATTTCATAATTTTCCTGTTCTGCTAAGCATTCAAAATGTAAGGAATACTTTGGGTTGTCAGGGAAAATGTATGGAGTAAAAAGTGCAATATTTTCTTTAGGTATGTAGTAAAGTAAAAGTTGTCAAATATAACTGGTGAAGTACAGATACCCCAAAGAACAACTTAAGTAGTACTTGAAAGTATTTTTACTTAAGTACTTTACACCACTGTGCGTTTTTAACTTGCAATAGGCATGGATAAAATGTTTTTGATTCCATATGCTGAACCCCTCATGACGTGTGACTTAGGAAGATGATAATGATGATGACACTGTGCTCTTCCTCCTCCAGACGCCTGTCTCATGGTCAGACGAGGCTCCAAACAGGAAAGGCAGCGAAGGGCACAAACGCTCTGCATCGTGGGTCAACGCTGAGCACCTACAGGAGGCATGTACACCCACTCACATCGCATGAAACCACAAGTGTTTGTGTGTGAGAATGGGAATTGAAAGCTTTTGGGTCTCAAGAAGCCAGATGTAGGGTTGCAAAACTCCCAGTAAATTTCCAAAGTTACCATATTGTTTGGACATTTTGGTAATTAACAGGTAATTAAGGAAATCTATGGAAACTTTGGTAATTTATACTTGAATAATAATAAAAATAAAAATAAATCATTAGGGATGTAACGATTGACCGATACGCATCGGTCCCCAATTTTAAATGTTTAAGATACAAGTGCATGGGTCTGCGGACCCCAAACCGTTCCAAATGTACATGCATCGGTCAGAAAATGGATTCAAACGTTACGAATCGCCGGTTCACATTTTTCTTTGGCTCATATTACATTCTTTCTACCTTCTGAAAATACCTAATATTTTGTGACAACTGATGTGTCCTTTCCTTCACTGTCAAACTGCATGTAACTGTGTTGACAGTCATTGATCTACAAGTCATTTTGCTTGCCGAACAACCCCAGGCAATAAATGATAATATGGCTAACGTGATATTAGGCTTTATTAGTTGTGACAACCTATCTAATTTGCTAGGTTATTGTTATCTATGCACTGTTGAAAATTGTGTTTTACCATTATTAAAGTAGCTACCGGAGAGACAACTCATCTGGCTATACCTGCTTAACGGGACTTACAATAGTTGTGCTATATATTCATTGCCTAGAGTGCATTCGGAAAGTATTCAGACCCCTTCCCTTTTTCCACATTTTGTTACGTTACAGCCTTATTCTAAAATTGATTAAATTACATGTTTTCCTCATCAATCTACACACAATGACAAAGCAAAAACTGGTTTTAGAAATTTTTGCTAATTTGTAAAAAACAAAAAACAGATACCTTATTTACATAAGTATTCAGAACCTTTACTATGAGACTCGAAATTGAGCTCAGGTGCATCCTGTTTCCAGTCATCATCCTTGAGATGTTTCTACAACTTCATTGGAGTCCACCTGTGGTAAATTCAATTGATTGGACATGATTTGGAAAGGCACGCACCTGTCTATATAAGGTCCCACAGTACATATCAGAGCATAAACCAAGCCATGAGGTCAAAGGAATTGTCCGTAGAGCTCCGTGACAGGATTGTGTCGAGGAACAGATCTGGGGAAGGGTACCAAAACATTTCTGCAGCATTGAAGGTCCCCAAGAACACAGTGGCCTCCATCATTCTTAAATGGACGAAGTTTGGAACCACCAATACTCTTCCTAGAGCTGGCCGCCCGGCCAAACTGAGCAATCGGGGGAGGAGGGCCTTGGTCAGGGAGGTGACCAAGAACCCGATGGTCACTCTGACAGAGCTCCAGAGTTCCTCTGTGGAGATGGGAGAACCTTCCAGAAGGACAACCATCTCTGCAGCACTCCACCAATCAGGCCTTTATGGTAGTGGCCAGACGGAAGCCGCTCCTCAGTAAAAGGCACATGACAACCTGCTTGGAGTTTGCCAAAAGGCACCTAAAGGACTCAGACCATGAGAAACAAGATAAAATGTTATTTGTCACATGCGTCGAATATAACGTTCTCTGGTCTTATGAAACCAAGATTGAACTCTTTGGCCTGAATGCCAAGCGTCACATCTGGAGGAAACCTGGCACCATCCCTACGGTGAAGCATGGTGGTGGCAGCATCATACTGTGGGGATGTTTTTAGCGGCAGGGACTGGGAGACTAGTCAGGATTGAGGGAAAGATGAACGGAGCGAAGTACAGATAGATCCTTGATGAAAACCTGCTCCAGAGCGCTCAGGACCTCAGACTGAGGCGAAGGTTCACCTTCCAACAGGACAACGACCCTGGACACACAGACAAGACAATTCAGAAGTGGCTTCGGGACAAGTCTCTGAATGTCCTTGAGTGGTCCAGCCAAAGCCCGGACTTGAACCCGATCGAACATCTCTGGAGAGACCTGAAAATAGCTGTGCAGCGACGCTCCCGATCCAACCTGACAGAGCTTGAGAGGATCTGCAGAGAAGAATGGGAGAAACTTCCCAAATACAGGTGTGCCAAGCTTGTAGCGTCATACCCAAGAAGACTCGAGGCTGTAATCGCTGCCAAAGGTGCTTCAACAAGGTACTGAGTAAAGGGTCTGAATACTTACGTAAATGTGATATTTCATTTTTTGTATTTTTTTATACATTTGCAAAAATGTCTAAATCTGTTTTTGCTTTGTCGTTGTGGGGTATTGTTTGTAGATTGAGGGGGAAAAAACGATTTAATCCATTTTAGAATAAGGCAACAAAATATGGAAAAAGTCGAGGTTTGAATCATTTCTGAATAAACTGTATGTCATAGTATTGTTTACAAAATCATCTATCTCAAACATTTAATCTGCAAAAAGGATAAGTTAATTAGTGTTTGATGGTGATTTTAGAAACAAAGTGTGGGGGGGAGGGGGGCAAAAAACATACTTCCCCAAGTCCCGAACAGACTCCGGGAAACTACATAGAACTCTATTCCACATCAAGTTACTCGTGCAAGCAGTAAAATCAGATTTAAAAAAACTGATAAAACTACACCTTGTGCAACAACGCAGACTGTGAAGAGGCACACGCATACGCACAGACACGCTAGCGAACACGCACTCTACATAAACGTCAGTAAAGGCTCCTCAGGAGGAAGGGGAGGACCTTCCTCAGTGAATTTCATATTTTAAAAACTAAATAAAGTTATCCTTTTTTAGATAAAACTATACTAAATATATTTGCTTGTCACTAAATAATTGATTAAAACACTGTTTTGCAATGAAGGTCTACAGTAGCCTCAACAGCACTCTGTAGGGTAGCACCATGGTGTAGCTGGAGGACAGCTAGCTTCCGTCCTCCTCTTGGTACATTGTCTTCAATACAAAACCTAGGAGGCTCTTGGTTCTCACCCCTTCCATAGACTTACACAGTAATTATGACAGTTTGGAGGACATCCTCCGGAAGTTATCAGCGCTCCTGCAGCATGAACTGACATGTTGTCCACCCAATCAAAGGATCAGAGAATTAATCTAGTACTGAAAGCGTAAACTACAGCTAGCTAGCACTGTAGTGCATAAAATGTGGTGAGTATTTGACTCAAAGAGAGACAATAGTTTAACCGTTTTTAACACATTTATTTCTTACAAAATGAAGAAGCAAGAGAGCGAGAGAGTTCGTCACTTTTTTTTGTTTCACTTACTTAGCTAGCAAATGCAGCTAGCTAGTTTAGCCTACTCAAACACCCTGCTCAAACAGAGGGATGCTATGTTAGCCAGCTGGCTATGACTATCCAACACAACTCTGGAACTCTTCCAAGTCAAGGTAAGCTTTTTGTTGTACTCATTTATTGCCACCGGGGCCCGCCAGTGTAAGTGCTAATCTGCTTACAACCTGTTTGCTTACAACCTGTTTACGCGTGATCAGGGGTGTATTCATTCCGCTGATTCTGTTGAAAAACGTTTCTTACACGGAAGCAACCGAAACGGGAATAAACATACCTGAATTTGTCCAATAGAAACTGTCGTTTGCAACTGTTGGACTAATATTTACAACCTAGATCAGCTAGGTCCAGGCAAGAGTGCAAGGCGGTATTGAATGTGTCACTGTCTGTCAACTCAAATTTTTCTCTGGACGTGGGCACCTACGTTGTACACTTTCTTTCATAGGCTAGGTTGTAGCAACCTCATGATGGGTATAGGGAAAATTAGAGTATCACATAGCAGCCTAAACCTATCGCTGTTACATTGAACTGGTTGAATGGAATATGAATGACAGTCATCTTCTATGCTGTAATAGAAATAAGGCCATGCTCATGTAATTTTTATTTGTTGGTTTGATACAATGTTGCACTTCACTAGCGATAGCTCAAGTCAAGACGGATGGATGGATAGAAAGGGAGGTAAAAGGCTACTAACAAATGTGCAGTTTTGTCACGCAACACAATGCCACAGATGTCTAGTTTTGAGGGAGTGTGCAATTGGCATGCTTACTGCAGGAATGTCCACCAGAGCTGTTGCCAGAGAATTGAATGTTGATTTCTCTACCATAAGACGCCTCCAACGTCATTTTAGAGAATTTGGCAGTATGTCCAACCGGCCTCACATCCGCAGACCACGTGTAACCACGCCAGCCCTCCATATCCAGCTTCTTCACCTGCGGGATGGTCTGAGACGAGCCACCCGGACAGCTGATGAAACTGTGGGTTTGCACAACCGAAGGATTTCTGCACAAACTGTCAGAAACAGTCTCGTGAAGCTCATCTGCGTGCTCGTCGTCCTCACCAGGGTCTTGACCTGACTGCAGTTCGACGTCTTAACCGACTTAAGTGGGCAAATGCTCACCTTCGTTGGCCACTGGCATGCTGGAGAAGTGTGCTCTTCACAGATGAATCCCGGTTTCAACTGTAGACAGCGTGTATGGCGCCGTGTGGGAAAGCGGTTTGTGAACAGAGTGCCCCATGTTGGGGTTATGGTATGGGCAGGCATAAGCTACGGACAACGAACACAATTGCTTTTTTAATCAACAGCAATTTGAATGCACAGAGATACCGTGACGAGATCCTGAGGCCCATTGTCGTGCCATTCATCCTCCGCCATCACCTCATGTTTCAGCATAAAACACGGCCCCATCTCGCAAGGATCTGTACACAATTCCTGGAAGTTGAAAATGGCCTAGTTCTTCCATGGCCTGCATACTCACCAGACATGTCACCCATTGAGCATGTTTGGGATGCTCTGGATCGACATGTACGACAGCGTGTTCCAGTTTCCACCAATATCCAGCAACTTCGCACAGCCATTTGAAGAGGAGTGGGACAACATTCCACAGGCCACAATCAACAGCCTGATCCACTCTATGCGAAGGAGATGTGACCACCAGATGCTGACTGGTTTTCTGATCCATGCCCCTACCTTTTAAAAAAAGCTATCTGTGACCAACAGATGCCTATCTGTATACCCAGTCATGTGAAATCCATAGATTAGGGCCTAATGAATTCATTTCAAT